AATTGAAGTAGAAATATTATTATGTAATTGTAACTTTATTATTTTAAAACTTCATTAAGTGTAATTTTAACAAATCAGTCAATTTTAAACTTCAATATTATAGTAATGTAGTACCAACTGACTCTCATGTATATTTTAGTTGAGAGATTTTTTTTTCCTTGAGAAAATTTGGCATGTACTGTACCTGATATATATCCAAAAATAATCGATATTGAATCGAATCGGTAATCGAATCGAATCGCAAACTTGTGAATGAGAATCATTGTGAATTGTGAAATTGTGTCAAAACCCAGCCCTAGTGTGTACTGTGTATATTTATTATGTATATATAAATACACACACATGCATGCATATATTTTAGAAAAATATGCTGTTTATATATTAAATATATTTATATATAATATACATTTTATGAATATAAATATATACATGTAAATATTTTCAAAATATATACTGTATGTACAGTATGTGTCTTTATATATACATAATAAATATACACAGTACAACACACATGTATTATGTAAACGAAAACTTTTATTTTGGATGCGATTAATCTTTTGACAGCACTAATAAAAACTGATATGCCTTACTCGTGGTGCAATACTGTTGTAATATCAAGATTAGTTTATTGACTGGGTTCCCACAATCACTGAAAAACCGTATAATGGAATTTTGAAGAAACTGTTGTGAAGCCAGTGGAAAAAAACATGCAAATAAACTAAATAAATAGCTCAAAAAATTATTTTTGGTGAAATATGGTTTAATTTTCTAGTTAAGCTGAGCTCTAAAATATTAACACATGCACTCCGTTAAATTCCAAGCAGTCTGTTGTTTGGACATATAATGTTTCCTTTCAAATTAGGGCAGTTAGGGCAGTTAAGTAGTTTGCCTTCATTATTTTTTCCTGCTCAAGACACATTAAAGAAGATATTTAAAATATTTAAAAATTTAAATGCATATTATTCGAATCTAATAAAAATTTATTAAGAATCGTACTATTGAATCGTCACGAATTTGAGAAGATTGCTTTTGAATTGAATCGAAAATGAATAGGCCTATGAATCGTGAATCGAATCAAGTATAACCAACCAATGGAAGACAATATTGTGGTTTGTCATGTTAAAAGCTTGGTATTTGACAAATACCATGGTAATGAACGGTCATTAGCCCTACTATGGTATTTATGCTACTTCATGGCACAAGAATACAAGGCGGTACAAAATCATGGTAACAGATCGGTACCATGTCAAAAACGTGGTATTATGATGGAACATGTCCAAAAGAAAAAACATGTTTTATTTGAAATGCTGTTTCCTGTTTACTAGCATAATGCTAACCTGAAGTCCAGAGTTCATTTCAACTTCATTATATTCCTCATTCAAAAAACAACGATCCGAGAACACTTTAAACATTAACATTACACTGTATTAAATCGGCCATTCAAGAATAAATCCACTTTTAGCGTTAATGTTAGTGAATGAGTTAGTGTCAGTGGCCTGTGAGCGCACCTGAAAACACACCTGTCATTTAAACACCTGTTTGATACGTCACATTCAACGCTTTTGTCTTACCTATTGCTTCAGCTGAACTCAATCGGTAAATTCATGTCCGTTTAATCACGCTTAAGTCCTCTCTCCGTTAGGTTTCAAAGGAAATAAAATAATCTCCATAACAGCCGTTGCTCCCTACAGTCCGTGTACTCGCTCAACGCATCCCGACAGTCGGCGCTACATTCACACAAACACTGGGAAAGAGAATGTGCGTATAAAAAACAGCATCAGGTTTTAAGAAATGGGCTGGCTGGTCTTAATAATAATTATTCTATTTGAGCTCTTCGTGTATTTTAAATTCAATTTCTATTCAAGTTTATCAGCGTTGTTTTTCAGGTGTAATTTATTGTCCAGACCTACGAAGTAGCAATAGATGACGTTATTCCGTGGTACCAGTTACTTTTCTCAGCGCTGGTCAAGTTGAACCAATCACATTCGACTACGATAATCGAATAACGCTTTATTATTTAATCATTTCATAGAGATTGCTCGGCGGAATTCCATTTGTATGTCAGGCAACAATTCTTTGCATTTCGGTGTTTTAACAAAAGTACTTTTCAAGTGTATAAATGTTACTAATAAGACAAAAGACGGCCTGAGCTGTGGTTGCCCCTCGGTGGAAGTATTTGCTGTGAGCCGTCAAGCGCCCCCAGCGCTGTGTCTCACAAACACGGTTGGACTCAGCAGTATCTCAAACACTGAGGCGCTACGACAAATAACATCTAATTCATTCAAGCGTATGAAGAAAAGGGGGAGAAATATGCTTCAGATTTGACTATTTTAACAAAGTAAATATAACAAAGAGTGTGTCGTTGTTGCAAATAGCCTGTATGAAGTCATATATCAATTTGCGGCATGCATCCAAAGTCAACGCAATGTTCAAACATCTTGTAATATTTCTCAAATTATGAGACCTCTAGCCTATTACAACTTTTTATATGAAGTCTAGTGGTTTGGACTTTGGAGTAGCATCCAATCAAATTCACACAAATGCTGATAGATTTATCCATTTTTATAAGTAAACAACAATAATGGCAGCTTCTTGAAAGAGACCTCCATTACTATCAGCACACCTTAGAAAACACTCTGAAAAAAGTTACAAAAGCTATCACTGTGGTGGCACCTTTTCAAAAGGTACACTTTTGTACCATTTAGGTACTAATATACACACTTTTTAGGTAGCCTATTGTGTAGCCTACATTTAAGGTACCATTATGGACCCTTTTGGTACAAAGATGCCACCCATGCAGTGACAGCTTTTGTACCTTTTTTCTCTGTAGTTTATTTACATATGTAAATCACATGCAGGATTGTGGGCAAAAAGCTTTTTGACAAATCTCACATTTTCATGTAGCTAGTATCATGGAAGCATTGCAGTTTATGAAACATGCTTTATGAGGGGTTTCTACTTAGTATTTTAGTTTTAATAGATAATAAATAATATAAGATGAAACAAACCAGGATTGTCTCATTTAGAAACTCGTTCAGAAATTTCAGTCCTCCTTTTCAAGTTAGGCCTTTTTTTATAATTTGTATCTGTTATGTTTACTGGAGTATTGTGTGTTTCATTTTTAACATTATTTAGTGTTATGTGTGTTACCTTGATGGTCTTGTAACATTGCTTAAATTTCTTATTGCTTGAGAGACCCATTTTGTCAAACATTAAGTCCTTATCTGATTTCCATTGTACCACTTGTACAATACATTTTACCTTGACAAATTGATTTTTCAAGTCTTTATATATACATAATAAATATACACAGTACAACACACATGTATTATGTAAACGAAAACTTTTATTTTGGATGCGATTAATCTTTTGACAGCACTAATAAAAACTGATATGCCTTACTCGTGGTGCAATACTGTTGTAATATCAAGATTAGTTTATTGACTGGGTTCCCACAATCACTGAAAAACCGTATAATGGAATTTTGAAGAAACTGTTGTGAAGCCAGTGGAAAAAAACATGCAAATAAACTAAATAAATAGCTCAAAAAATTATTTTTGGTGAAATATGGTTTAATTTTCTAGTTAAGCTGAGCTCTAAAATATTAACACATGCACTCCGTTAAATTCCAAGCAGTCTGTTGTTTGGACATATAATGTTTCCTTTCAAATTAGGGCAGTAAACAATCCTAAGTAGTTTGCCTTCATTATTTTTTCCTGCTCAAGACACATTAAAGAAGATATTTAAAAATAATAATATTTTAAATGCATATTATTCGAATCTAATAAAAATTTATTAAGAATCGTACTATTGAATCGTCACGAATTTGAGAAGATTGCTTTTGAATTGAATCGAAAATGAATAGGCCTATGAATCGTGAATCGAATCAAGTATAACCAACCAATGGAAGACAATATTGTGGTTTGTCATGTTAAAAGCTTGGTATTTGACAAATACCATGGTAATGAACGGTCATTAGCCCTACTATGGTATTTATGCTACTTCATGGCACAAGAATACAAGGCGGTACAAAATCATGGTAACAGATCGGTACCATGTCAAAAACGTGGTATTATGATGGAACATGTCCAAAAGAAAAAACATGTTTTATTTGAAATGCTGTTTCCTGTTTACTAGCATAATGCTAACCTGAAGTCCAGAGTTCATTTCAACTTCATTATATTCCTCATTCAAAAAACAACGATCCGAGAACACTTTAAACATTAACATTACACTGTATTAAATCGGCCATTCAAGAATAAATCCACTTTTAGCGTTAATGTTAGTGAATGAGTTAGTGTCAGTGGCCTGTGAGCGCACCTGAAAACACACCTGTCATTTAAACACCTGTTTGATACGTCACATTCAACGCTTTTGTCTTACCTATTGCTTCAGCTGAACTCAATCGGTAAATTCATGTCCGTTTAATCACGCTTAAGTCCTCTCTCCGTTAGGTTTCAAAGGAAATAAAATAATCTCCATAACAGCCGTTGCTCCCTACAGTCCGTGTACTCGCTCAACGCATCCCGACAGTCGGCGCTACATTCACACAAACACTGGGAAAGAGAATGTGCGTATAAAAAACAGCATCAGGTTTTAAGAAATGGGCTGGCTGGTCTTAATAATAATTATTCTATTTGAGCTCTTCGTGTATTTTAAATTCAATTTCTATTCAAGTTTATCAGCGTTGTTTTTCAGGTGTAATTTATTGTCCAGACCTACGAAGTAGCAATAGATGACGTTATTCCGTGGTACCAGTTACTTTTCTCAGCGCTGGTCAAGTTGAACCAATCACATTCGACTACGATAATCGAATAACGCTTTATTATTTAATCATTTCATAGAGATTGCTCGGCGGAATTCCATTTGTATGTCAGGCAACAATTCTTTGCATTTCGGTGTTTTAACAAAAGTACTTTTCAAGTGTATAAATGTTACTAATAAGACAAAAGACGGCCTGAGCTGTGGTTGCCCCTCGGTGGAAGTATTTGCTGTGAGCCGTCAAGCGCCCCCAGCGCTGTGTCTCACAAACACGGTTGGACTCAGCAGTATCTCAAACACTGAGGCGCTACGACAAATAACATCTAATTCATTCAAGCGTATGAAGAAAAGGGGGAGAAATATGCTTCAGATTTGACTATTTTAACAAAGTAAATATAACAAAGAGTGTGTCGTTGTTGCAAATAGCCTGTATGAAGTCATATATCAATTTGCGGCATGCATCCAAAGTCAACGCAATGTTCAAACATCTTGTAATATTTCTCAAATTATGAGACCTCTAGCCTATTACAACTTTTTATATGAAGTCTAGTGGTTTGGACTTTGGAGTAGCATCCAATCAAATTCACACAAATGCTGATAGATTTATCCATTTTTATAAGTAAACAACAATAATGGCAGCTTCTTGAAAGAGACCTCCATTACTATCAGCACACCTTAGAAAACACTCTGAAAAAAGTTACAAAAGCTATCACTGTGGTGGCACCTTTTCAAAAGGTACACTTTTGTACCATTTAGGTACTAATATACACACTTTTTAGGTAGCCTATTGTGTAGCCTACATTTAAGGTACCATTATGGACCCTTTTGGTACAAAGATGCCACCCATGCAGTGACAGCTTTTGTACCTTTTTTCTCTGTAGTTTATTTACATATGTAAATCACATGCAGGATTGTGGGCAAAAAGCTTTTTGACAAATCTCACATTTTCATGTAGCTAGTATCATGGAAGCATTGCAGTTTATGAAACATGCTTTATGAGGGGTTTCTACTTAGTATTTTAGTTTTAATAGATAATAAATAATATAAGATGAAACAAACCAGGATTGTCTCATTTAGAAACTCGTTCAGAAATTTCAGTCCTCCTTTTCAAGTTAGGCCTTTTTTTATAATTTGTATCTGTTATGTTTACTGGAGTATTGTGTGTTTCATTTTTAACATTATTTAGTGTTATGTGTGTTACCTTGATGGTCTTGTAACATTGCTTAAATTTCTTATTGCTTGAGAGACCCATTTTGTCAAACATTAAGTCCTTATCTGATTTCCATTGTACCACTTGTACAATACATTTTACCTTGACAAATTGATTTTTCAAATAGATTAGAAAAGTAGCATTATATAACTTTAATGACATATCCACTTCACGGAAGCAAGCTATTTTCTGTGAATGTGCCAGACTTCAGATTCATTAGTCGTCATGCTTAAATAACTAGAACAATAACAAAGTGCAGTAAACAGTAAAACTATTTGCGATAGAAACCAGTATGATTACAACATTAATTACAAATAATTTTATAACAAATACAAGTCACGCAACATTATGACAGCTAAAATAACTGGTAGCAATTGACCCCAGAAGCCATGCAGATTCAAGTTATAAATGTCTGCACCTGCTCTGACATTACAAATAAGAAAATCAATTATGAAATATACAGCCACCAAAATGCCCAAAATGGCACAAGCTGCCCATAGATGAAGAAACATAGAATTCAGTAACTGTTGTTCAAAAAGTATTTAACTATAAAGCATAATGTTGATCAATGTCCCACATTTTGTGTTAATCTAATTATTGCATCTGCCCCATTAAATAAAAAAAAGTTGTAAAATTGTAACATCCACAAAGTGACATCATGACATCTTTTAATCTGTTTCTACAGCATGTTATAAGAAAAGAAGTAATCTCATTAGATTTTTGACATGCCTCAAATGTTGGTAGGGTTGCC